CAGTTTTCAAAAGTAATTATAAACCTATTTTTTCTCGTCATGCTCTTGTTCTGATGTCAACATTAAACTTGTTTTGTAGAATGAATTGGATAGCTTTTTCTATTTTTATCTTCAAAGGAATGATTTATAAAAGATTGCAATTATCTACCCTTTGAAGTTTTGGTAAAATTTGCCCATAATATTATCTGGTTCTGCTATTTGCAGGGGTTGAAAGCTTCTGAATATTGAGTAAATATCCTTAGTAGCCATTAGTTTTTTTTTTCAGCTTTAATTGAGTTTATTGGTACATTTTAGGGATACAGTACAGTTACATTCATTGTTGGGATCTTGTACCTCCACACGACAAGTCTTGATTCTCATTTTTTCCCCTTACCGCTGCCCTCCCTTCACCCTCTCCTCCCTTCCCCATCTGCAAATACTTTATTTCCATCTTTTCATTATCTCACATTTTTTTCTTTTCCCTTATTACCCTTCCCCTACTCATCCCACCTTCCCTACACCTTCAGCTCCTTTCTTCCCTTTTCAAAATGTCAGTAATCTTATTAGGATCTTGTGTATTATTGCAGATTATTCACACCAGAGAAACTATTTGGTATTTACACATGTGACTTATTTATGGAATATTACTCAGACATAAAGAATGAGAAAATAGATTCATTCATAGGAAAATGGATACATATTGAAGATATACTCCTAAGTGAAATAAATAAGTAGCCATTAGTTTTTAATTTTTCTATTCCTTTCTTTTATTTAGATAATTGATATTTTTGCAGAAAATTAATCTTATTCTGGTTTTCAAAATTACCACCACAAAGTTACTCACAGAATTTGCTTGTGATTTTAAAATATTGTTATAAAGGTATACCTTTTCATTTTCTATTGAGGTTTATTTGTTTAACATTAATGTTTATTAATGATTTAGATTTTTTTCTTGAATCATCTTACTGAGCTTTGTGTAATTTTAATAGAGAATCAGCTTTTGAATTAGCCTGTCCTTTCTACTGTTTCTGTTTTGTTTTCTTATCCTATTAATCCTATTAACACCCACTCATACACACACACACACACACACACACACACACACACACATTCACTTTTTTTTTTCAGTGTTGCACTTTAGGCCTAGAGCCTCCTGCATGTTAGGCAGACACTACCACTAAACCTCATCCCTAGGTCCTGAATCTTGCCTTATAAATCCTTTTTGAAAATGTCATTTATTTATCGATATTTCAAAAATAAAATGCATTTATGCTTATAAATAAATCTTGAGTATCTTTTTGCTGCATCCAATAATGCATTTTATTTTTATTATCATTATGTTTCACATATTTTCTAATTATTGCAGTGATTTCCTTTTTAACATACAATTATTTACTTTTTTTTTTTTTTTTTTTTTTT